AGAGCGGTTAATTCTGTGCATGTACGCTTTCAACTCATAACCGCTATCCACTATATTTGCTACGTGGTCTTGAATTATAACTTCCTTTAACCTCTCTTCCCACGTTCCTTGTTTCTTCGATTGATTTTTTGGTAACCGTTTTGGCTTAACCTCCATGTTCTGAGAGTCTCAACTATTCTCGAGCAACACTTGCTTTTTCGAGTCCCATAATTTCGAGTGCTCCCACGTCCCACGTGAGATTAGTCACAAGTATTCAGCATGTGTTGATTTTACTTCTCGGGCAGCGCTATCAATCTTTTCGAGTCACATGATTTTCGAGTATGCCTAACAGATAGTCTTGATGTGGATTTTCTTTTGGTGAGATTTTTAATTATTCTCTACTTGGTGATATGATTCTTTCCATGGGAGTACTTACAAAAAGAACTTTGATGCTTAAGTTAGTATCTCGTATTCTTGGTGTTCTTTTAAAATTTATAAAATGTGTACCTCTTTATTTGAGATTGGGTTATCTTTTTTTTTTTTTTGCGGATAATCAGTCTATTAGGATCTTGGTGATCATTGCCATTTTAATCTTATCTTTTATTGACTAGATCTTTATCATTAATGGATCGATGTGGCAATGCCGATATCGATATTATGTCATTTGAACATCATTTTTGTGTTTCTTGTCCTTCGTTGAGTTTGTTATCTCGACCAGGTTGATACAATTTATGCACTATTAAGTGATAAATTATTAATATAAGTATTAATAGTTAAATTAAATTTGATCTCTTACTTAATTTTAACTATCAACTTATATCTTAAAAATATCATACTATTGTGATTTAAAAAATATATCAACTTTCATAAATAATTTCAAAGAACAGACTAAAAAATTATTATTTTCAAAATCAAAAAATAATGAAAATTTTCATAAATAAAGATAAAATCTCGTACATAATTCAAAAACGAATGATAGACACACATATGATTGACAAAATATAAAATTGACTTTTTTTCTCTCACTTTAACCAATGACTTTATTCCAAGGGAAGTAAGTGATTTTTAAAAATTAGAGAAGGGTTTATGATTTACGATTCATGGTTCAAAATTTAGTGTTTAGGGTTCAAAGAAGGTGAGTGTTGTTAGATATTTCACATCGTTTAAAACACAAGATCATAATAAATAGTGTATATAAATGGAAAATAATCTTCATCTTATAAGCTAATTTTATAATGTTGAGTTAGGCTCTAATCTATATTCTAAGATGATGTCAGAGTCTATCTTAATGATTATTATTGTTGGACTTATCAACATACTTGCTATCAGACCATTATCAGACCACTTGCAGATATCTAGTTCTACAAACTTAATGTTTGAGATGTTTATTAGAGGTGTCAAATCAGGTCATACTTAATGGGTCAACTTGACTCACCATGGGTCTTGATCATGTTAGGAAAAAAAAGGTAATTAATTCTGGCTAAATTTTAACTCAACTCACTTAACCCATGAGCCAAACAATTTAAGCCTAAATGAGTGAGGTTGAATCAATGATAAATTTACCACTAGGGTTAGCCTAGTGGTTGGGTAGGGAGAGGTTGGGGTAGTTAGAAGCATAAGGACCTAGGTTCAATCCTCGTTGCGATATCTTTAGCAAAAAAGAATCAATGATAAACTTGATTTATTGATAGAAAAATTATAACTATTTATTTTATTTATTAAAAATAAGACACATGTAATTAATGTTTTTTATTTTTTAATTACTTTTTATTTTAAAAATTTAGTGAACCAATTTCACTGCAATAGAAGTCAAATTAAAATTTTCTAAATCACCAAAAAAATATTTTTGAATTAGATTAACTTGTATAAATCACTAATGCATGGTGAGCCTCATGTAAATGGATTTGGCTCATTTTGATGTCTATTATCTAATCTTATCATAATAATTTCATGTTAAATATCTTATATTATTTAAAAAATAATATTATAATAATATATATAAGTCAATAATAATTTTTATCTTATAAATTAATTTTATAAAATTAAATTCCACTATTACTCAAATTCTAATAAGCAAAATTTTGTAAGATTCTCCAACTTAGGGAGACCCATCGGTAAACACGCTAAAGATTCACGAGTTAACAAACCAATGTGGCAATTTGCAGAGGTTATCTTCTCTCTATATATGATCAGCAT